ATTATGTTATGAGTTTATGTGTATTCTGTTATGAGTTTATGTGCATTCGAAACAGAGAAATTTTTTTTTGGACAATGCACCAAAACGACGTGGTTTTGAGTAGGGCGGAGTGCACAATGCATTGTGCGCCCTGGTGCACGATATAATGACCGGTAATGAAGCTTACCCATACTTAACCAACTCAAATAAAAAAGGACTTGTAGTCTAGTATTCTTAATATTGTGGAGAGAGTTGGATAAATTTAAAAGAATTAGTGGCTTAAACAATAAATATATTAGTGGAAGAGTTTCCAATTGCCACATGAAATACTTTCAATAACACAATTATAAAATAAAATGTTATTTTAATACTAAATATTAAAATTTCAAATATTGAATGATTGTTTAAGTATTTTTTATTTAAAGTGATGTATTTCAAAGTGTTGATAAAGATATTGATAAAGAAAATTATATAACATTTTCAAAAATAATGATATTTATCAATATAAATGTAATTTATATTTATATTTTTATGTTACTAAAAATTATTAGGACTCTATTATCATTAGTATTTGTTATCTATTGTTACTAGTATTCGTCTTGTATTAGGTTTACTATTCGCTACTATATATATTCCTGTACAGACTTATTATTTGATCATTCAGAAATATTATATCCTCATCTGGTATCAGCAGATTTTTTTTTCTCTCTCTATGGCGCACCTCGGTTCTGATGGCGGTTCTGTTGGAAGTTCTGAACGGACTGTTTCTGAGGCCGCGCTTGTGGCACCCCTGCAGTCCGGGGTGTCGTTTTCTTCGGCTCATCACTTCGTTTCCATCAAGTTGACATCCCGCAATTTTTTATTCTGGCGTACTCAGCTTCTTCCGTTCCTGGATGGTCAAGGGTTGTTGGGTTTTGTCGATGGAACGTCCGTGTGCCCTCCGTTTACTGCCCTTACTGTACCGCCTGCCGAGGGGGATGCTGCCGCCGTGACTTCGTCGGCTTTGTCGTCCGCCGCTCGGAGTGCATGGCTTCGTCAAGATAAGGCCGTGCTCTCCTTGTTGATCTCGTCCTTGTCCGACGAGATGATGCATCTCGCCATCGGTAAAACCTCTTCTCGGCACTTGTGGGTGGCGATCGAGCAGGTTCTCGGTTCGACGACCCGGGCCCGTGCCCTTCGGTTGGTGGGCGAGTTGCAAGGATTGCGGCAGGGGGATGCTTCGATCCCGGATTATCTTGGTCGTGCTCAGGTGCTTATTGAGGACTTGGCACTTGCCGGACGCCCGGTGACGCTGGAAGATCAGAATATGTACATATTCCGGGGCTTGCGGTCTGAATATCGCCCTTTGGTGGCGTCGCTAACGAGGGGTGCTCCGGTGTCTCTACCCAAGTTATCCGATTTTCTTGTTTCGCAGGCTTTTATATGTGCTGATGATGGTGGTGACGTTGCTGCTGCTCCGGTCGCCATGGCGGCTCAGCGAGGTGGGGGTCGCTCGGCGGGCAGCAGCGTGGCAGCGGCAACCGAAGCCGCGGTCGCGGCAAAGGACGAGGTCGCGGTCGTGGTGGCGCCGGGGCTGTCCAGTGCCAGATTTGTTCCGGCGAAGGTCACTCGGCCGCTTCGTGCTATCGCCGGTATGATGGCGCCCCGGGGTCGCGGGCGCACGTTGCATATTCCGGTGATGATACGGCTTCGGCTAATACTCAGCAGTGGTTTCCTGACACTGGTGCATCGAATCATGCCACTCCGGATCCATCTTTGATGTCCTCGGCGGTCTCCTATAATGGTCCGGATCATCTTCGGGTTGGTGACGGTAAGTGTTTACCTATTGTTAGTACTGGTTCATCTTCGGTAGCCGCTTCTAAAACACTGTTTCGGTTGTCTGATGTTCTTTATGTTCCTGGGCTCTCTGCGTCTTTATTGTCTGTGCAACGGTTTGCTCGTGATAATAATGTCTTTTTTGAGTTTCACCCTGATTGTTTCTTTGTGAAGGATCGTTCAACCAGGGAAGTTCTGTATAGAGGACCGGCTTCGGGAGGTCTCTATTCTTGGCCTGTCTCTCGTTCAAGTCCCGCTGCGTTTGTGGCCTCTCGTGTCTCCTCTGAGGTGTGGCATGGTCGGTTGGGTCACCCTCATCCGCGTGTCTTGCGGCAGATATTAAATTCGTGTTCTATTCAGTCTAGTTTTAGTGATAGTTCGGAGTTGTGTCGTGCTTGTATGCTTGGGAAATCCTCACGGTTTCCCTTGCCTCGTGCCAATACTACTACGTCGCATGTTTTAGAGCTTATATATACTGATATTTGGGGCCCAGCGCCTTTTCTTTCTGTCAATGGCTTTCGTTATTTTGTTTTGTTTGTTGATGACTACACACGCTATGTATGGTTTTATCCTATGCGTTTGAAAACTGATGTGTATGCTATCTTCGAGCAGTTTCGGTCACTAGTTGAGCGTTCATATGGTCGTAAGATTGTCTCTATTCAATCTGATTTAGGGGGAGAGTATAAACGGTTGCACCGTACTTTTGTCTCTTTGGGCATTAATCATAGGCAATCTTGTGCCTATACCCATGAGCAGAATGGTAGAGTTGAGCGTCGGCATCGTCACGCTGTGGAAACGGGTTTGGCCCTCTTGGCCCAGGCTTCGGTTCCACAACGATATTGGGATTATGCCTTTGAGACTGCGGTCTATCTCATTAATAAGATGCCAACTCGCATTTTGGATAATGATAGTCCTCATTATCGTTTGCATCGCTCTAGTCCTTCGTATTCTTTCTTGCGTGTGTTTGGCTGTCTCTGTTATCCTCTGTTGCGCCCGTATAATCGTAACAAGTTACAGTATCGGTCTTCTCCGTGTGTGTTTCTTGGTTATCCGCCTTCGTTCCGTGGCTATCGTTGTTTTGATCTTGCTACTAACAAGGTATTCATTTGCCGCCATGTGCGGTTTGATGAAACTGTTTTTCCGTTTGCTTCTTCTGTACCTTCTCAGGTCTCTCGCTCTCGCCCGGTTGAGCAGTGGGGTGTTGGCGCCATTCAGGTTGGCGCGAGCTCCGGTGTTTGCCCTGCTGGGCCGGATCCTCGTCCGGACATGGACACGGATTCCGAGGCTGCTGGTGCTGCTTCTGATTCCCGCACCGAGACTGCCGTGGCTCCGGATGTGGCAGTCCCGGGTGCCCCTAAGGCGTCCAAGCGAGGTCGCCGCACGGTGAAACTGGTTCCGCCTCGGTCTCATGTTATGGCAACTCGTTCTTTGGGACCGGCGCAACATGTGGCACTAATGACTGTCTCTGAGCCGACTTGTTATTCTCAGGCAGTTCGGTATCCGGAATGGCGTGAGGCCATGGATCTTGAGTTTAATGCCTTGCTTCAGAATCACACTTGGCGTCTGGTTAGTCGCACGCCTGGCATGAATGTTGTGGGGTGCAAATGGGTGTTCAGGACGAAGCGCAAGGCTGATGGCACAATTGAGCGGCACAAGGCTCGGTTGGTGGCTAAGGGGTTCAATCAAGTCGCAGGACAGGATTTTTTTGAGACTTTCAGTCCCGTTGTAAAACCCACAACCGTGCGACTTCTCCTCTCCTTGGCCGTCTCTCACGGTTGGGTAATTCGGCAGTTGGATGTTCACAACGCCTTTCTTAATGGTACTCTTGCCGAGACAGTCTACATGCGACAGCTGCCTGGCTATGAGGACCCGTCACGGCCGGATGATGTGTGCTTATTACAGAGGTCGCTCTATGGTCTTAAGCAGGCTCCTCGCGCATGGTTTAACAGGTTACATGCTTTCTTGGCGTCGGTTGGTTTTTCACCTTCCAAGACTGACGTTTCTTTATTCATATACACTCGTGACTCTGTATCTTTATATGTGCTTGTATATGTTGATGATATCCTTGTTATGGGATCTGATGCTTCGCGTGTTACTCGGCTTCTGACTGACTTAGCCTCGGAGTTCAAGATTCGTGACATGGGTGCTCCGTCTTTTTTTCTGGGCATTGAGACGGTCTCCCGTGATGGTGGTTTGTTTCTTTCTCAACAGCGATACATGCGAGATATATTGAGTCGTGCAGGTATGGTGGACTGTAAACCGTTGGCTACTCCGGTGCCTGTGACTCGACCCGTTTCTGAATCTGTGGTTCCCTATGTCGATCCCACGCAGTATCGCAGTCTTGCTGGGGCTCTGCAGTATCTTACTGTCACTTGCCCGGATTTATCTTTTGTTGTGAATCGGGTCTGTCAGCATATGCACTCTCCGACTACTGAGCATTGGGCAATGCTCAAACGTGTTCTACGGTACGTTAAAGGAACTTTGCATTTTGGTCTTTTTATTCGCCCGTCCTCCTCTGTTGCGGTTCATGCTTTTTCGGATTCGGACTGGGCTGGTGATCCGGCTGACAGAAAGTCTACTAGCGGCTTTGCAGTATTTCTTGGTGGCAATCTGATTTCTTGGTCTTGCCGGAAGCAACGTACGGTTGCTCGTTCGTCTACAGAGGCTGAGTACAAGGCACTGGCTGACGTGTCTGCTGAGGTCACCTGGTTGGTTTCTCTGTTGCACGAACTTCGGTTGCCGTTGTCAACTCCTCCCACTCTCTGGTGTGATAATCTGGGTGCAACCTATCTCTGTTCCAACCCGGTGTTCCATGCTCGTACGAAACATGTGGAAATTGACTATCACTTTGTTCGTGACAAAGTGGCAAAGAAGGAGTTGCAAGTTAGTTTCATTTCTACAAAGGATCAGCTGGCTGATGTGTTCACTAAAGCTCTCCCCAGTCCACGTTTCTCCACTCTGTGTGGCAAGCTCAATGTTGTTGCTGGTCCACCTTGTGCTTGAGGGGGAGTATTAGGACTCTATTATCATTAGTATTTGTTATCTATTGTTACTAGTATTCGTCTTGTATTAGGTTTACTATTCGCTACTATATATATTCTTGTACAGACTTATTATTTGATCATTCAGAAATATTATATCCTCATCAAAATAACATTAAATTAGTACATTTAACATCACTTAATTTGAGTGGTGGCTCCACAGTGATGCAAAACTCATAAAACATCATTAATTTCTCAAAAACATGAAAGTTCTTACATTATGGTTTTACAACATCCAGGAAACCGGTCCTGAGAAGCAGGCAGCATCAAATTATTACAAAAATCTGAACACATGTTACAACATCAAACTGAATAGCACCAATCATGCTGGAAACTGGAAAGGATATGATGCATCATCCATTATTTTATGTGGAAGGTATGCAACAGCACATGGGGGGTGTATGGGTATGGGCTTTGCAAACACAGCTGGTGCAAATCTTAAATCCCATTTTCTGTGATCCGCGCAATTATGGAGTTCTGGGCGAATATTCATGCCACTGATTTGAGCACGGCACTGAGCACAGCTTCTCTGGTGGGCAAAGCAGGAATTGCCCCTCGCTCCGTCACCGTCAAGGCACCGCAAGCATTCGCAAATCTCAACGCATCTCTCAGGCGGTCTTCGTCCTATAAAAACCCAAGATTTGTCATGTGTCAGTCAAAGGATAGAATAGAATGTGTATATGACTCAACACAACTCACCCAGCGAAGAAAACCAGAAATAAAAATGCAGACTAGAGGACCAAGAGCAAATAAAGAATACTTCTATCTGTTGGAGATTGATTTTAAGTATTCAGAAGGGAAAATATTTGACTAACAGATCAGAGCAGCCCGCGTTTGAAAACAGGTGGCTGTAGCAGTAGCACGATGATCTACAGTACGAAAAGCAATACCTGAAGCAGTGTCACGTCAGATGATAATTGTGTCAACAATCCAGCTACGAAAGCATCTCCCGCACCGGTGGTGTCCACAGCTTCCACCATCAAACCCGTGACTCTTCCACTAAACTCCTGTAAATAGAAGAAGGTTCTAGCAGTCTTAGGAAACTAGAGACTATATAAATAAAAGAATAGCCACGACAATAAGCACAAGTTTTGCCTAAAGAGGAAGGCAGGCAGGCAGATGTACATTGTTCAAATGTTCAACCTGGATAGTGCTTGTTGATAATACTTTGATAGCACTCTGACAACAATTTAAATCATAAGAGCTTTTTTTTTTGCAAGAATTGATTGCACAGTGGATTTTGTACATAACCTATGGTTGACAAGCAGAAAGACAACGAAAAAGTTTTTTCAAATGTTTGACATAGGCACAAATCACTTCCACAGTAAGCAACAGATTCTTGACGAGTATAACATTAATTATTTGAGCAGAACTGAATAAACCTGATAGAGAAATCAATAGGCTTTTGGAACATTTCATGGAGGGCGGGATGGGATTGGAGCCCTCACCTAATGCCTGGAAAGGGACTTAGCTTATATACTTATTTTACACACAAATATGTTTGCACAAAAACAAGCACACACATTACCAAGAGTCTACAAAATGCAAGAACCTTGAACAATGGGTCAGACACTTTTTCACAATTCTTTTGATAAGTGACACTTTTTTCACATATTATTTTGAGTATACTTAGAAGATCACCTTGGTGTAATATCGACAACCTGCTGGACCTTCAGTGACGAGGAGCAACTTGAGGTTTGGATGGTACAGTTTGCGAACAACATCATCATTATATGGATCTTCTCCTTGTGTCAAAAATGAAATCTCCTCCTCGCTAATCTGATGACAATTATTCAGTAATACATTAGATAAATCACCAAAGCTTTGAGTTTGCACGTGTTTAGAGCAGGGACGGAGCAGAAATTATGTTGAGGGGGGGCAAAGAAGTAGGGATGGTCAGTGGCGGATTCAGGAATTTTTTTCAGTGAGGCCAAAAAATTAAAATAAAAGAGAAAGTTTGAAAAAAAAAATGAAACATTTTAAGAAGTATAACAATAAATATTGTTGGATATAGCGAAAAATAAAACATATTAAAACTTTATAAAAATATTTATAACAAAATATGAAACATAATTAATTTGATAAAACAATTCGAATATAAAACACATTATAAATTACACATTCCATTATTAATATAAAGAAAGTTATATATACATCCTATTATTAATATAAAGAAAATTATATATACATCTCATTATTAATATAAAAAAGAAAGACATCACATTATTAATATAAAAGAAAGTTATATATATCCGCAAAGATGTGAAGAAGACTAAGACAGTGTCAATGCAAGGAATTGAACCCAAGCCATTTTGAAACCCAAACGTGTTTCCTACCACCTTGTCTACCAAAACTTTTGTTTACAAAATCTGTTTTATAATACTTATACTAATAATGTACTATATATACATATTATATACAAAGCTATATATAGGGTAGGGGTGGGGTGGGGTGAGGGGGGGCAGGTGCCCCCCCTTTGGCTCCGTCCCTGGTTTAGAGCAACATAAATTACACATAATTTGCAAGTTCAACTGGAGATAGAGAAAAATGTACCTTAATTATATCAGCAGTCTCCCATATGCTAAAGATTCCTTCTCGAGCACTTTCTGCTGATGGCCATAGTGGAAGCCTCAGGTTTGGATCATAAGACAAAATTACACCAGCATCCTTTGCAGCTTTAGCTGCAGCAACATGGGCTGATTTGCATGGTTCTGTAATCAAGCTTATAGAACCGTAATGGAAAATCTTTGCCTGTCAAACAATACAACTATCACTCAGCATCTACAATTGTAAAACCGCAGTGTTTGAAGGGTAAAGATAGGAATACTGGGCATGTCTATAAACCACAAAATAAATTGGTCTAAGTTAACAATTTCTAATATTTGGCTAAATTGTGCTTATGCACACAAATCACACAAATTGGCCCGCTTTAATCCCTCAGGCTCAACACAAACCCCCTCTTCCCTCTCTGTCTTTTTTATCTTAGGTTCCTTTTTTGTTTTGTCATGACCAATTCTACCCATTGCTACATTAGTTTACTAATGCTTCAAAGAAATTTATATACCTTCTTAATTAATTCAAAATCGAGTTCACTCGGTTTCAGCAACATATCAGCACTAGGATTACGGTAAAACATGAACTCGCGCTCCCCATCTTTTCTAAGAGTTACAAATGCTAAGGCAGTGCGAGCACCAGGATCAAAGCGCATCCCTTCACTGTTCACATTATTCTCCTTCAAAATATCAGCAAGCATGTACCCGAATTCATCTTCACCAACCTGTGCATAATTGCATATTCATATATTATCAATTTGCAATGCTGCAGCATAATCCAATCTTCTAGGTGTTTTTATGTGATAACATGGAGTTTGAGAAAGACTAAAAGGAGAAGAAATGCGAAAACGATACCTTGCCTATAAAAGCTGATGAACCACCAAGGCGAGATATGCCAACAGCAACATTAGCTGGTGCACCACCTGGAGCCTTTTTAAATGCAGGTGCTTCAGCCAAAGAAAGTCCACTTGTGGTTGGAACGAAATCGATCAACATCTCCCCAAAGCACACCACAAGTTCAGATTCATCCTTCTTTTCAAGTGCCCCATTATCGCTTGGCTGTGCTCTTCCTTGAATAATTATGATAATAAAAGTACATGTTAAAAGTTACAGTAGTTAATAATGCACAATTCTTGTTACACTTTCTGTGATCATTTGTTTGACTATACAATACAAAACAAGATGGCCTTATTAAACTTTCTGTAATTTTCTTTCATATCCATCCATCTAATCGTGTTAACCATATAGCCATATGCAACCAAACTATCAGCTTAGGCTTTTAGTTGAATGGAACACATGCTTCAATTAATCGTTCTACTATCCTGTCTGCTTCTTAATTTGTGAGCAACAAATTTAAAACACTAATTAAAGACATAAGCTCACACGGAATAAATATGCAACTCACTCAGTTGTCTAAATAAATAAATGAAGCAGGAAAATTTGAAGACCTTGAAGTCTGAGGGTTGGTGGTGGGGGCCTGCATCTCGGAAAAGCAGACGGACCGGAGAGTTGAGACCAGCCAAAACTTCTCCGACCGGAAGAGACTGAGACTGAGACTCCGGTGAAGCAGAGAGTAGAAGAATGAAGAGCGGCCATATATTAAGAAGCAGGCAGTGAGCTGAGCTTAGGTATTACACCCAAACAAATACGTAAAGGGGAAATCCCTAGCTATTGTGGCATTGGGAAAATCAGTTGGGATGAACCCTAATTTCAATGGCTTTGCTGACGAGACTGAGAGAGTAGCGGAGAAAGCAAAGAGAAAAAGGAAGCGTCACTTGTCAGCTTGCCATGTGTGACGTGTCTGCACTCTGCTACTCTGCTACTCTGCTACTCTGCCATTGGACACTTGTATGATTCTATATCAACTATGGAGGACACTGCAATTACAAATTACTCCCTCTCATTTCATAAAGCTGAAGCCTGATTCAAATTATTTTTATTTCATTTTTTATAATGTTAACATTTATATATTAATTAATTAAAAATATTATTAAATACAAAAAATATATTTAAAAAATACTAAAAAAAAGAAGTAAAGAAAAAATAATTTGTTTAATTAATAAATAATAAACATGACAGATAACTATTATCACCATCTTCCGCTTATTTTCTAGCCACCCTCCTTTGCTTTTTTCATTATTATCCTCTATCGTCGCAAAATTTTCTTTCCAGCTATCATCTTCAGCTTCTTGTGTTGAAATTTGTGTTTATAATTTTCAAAAATAAATTTAAAATTTTAGAATAATGAAAAACTGAAAAAAGAGTAGCCAGACCTTTAAAGATATTTTTGAAAAAGAAAAAAATAATTGAGTGGCAAAAGTATTACAGGGAATCATTATTATTGTCTAGAAGGATACAAATTGGGCCAGTGGACACGAGGTTGTGTAGGATACGTGGGTTTTGACGCACGTTGGTTGTTGACTTGTTTAGTACGGACAATGGAGTAGCCATTGGGCTTGTTTTACCTTTGACCCTTCTCCAAAACCAATATCCAACAACAGCCCATATCCAAGGAGGAAGACCGGAAAGACTGAAAGAGAGAGATTACTTTTTTTTTTTTTTTTTTTGACATATTGCGATTTGACGGACTGACCAAACAGAACATTCTGGAGTTTTCCATTCTTTATTATTCCCCCACTTTAGTTGCCGATGATTCCAACACCTTCAATCTATGCTCGCCTCTCATTGCTATGCAAATTCCAATTCTTAAGCCAAGTAGCAAGCCACGCTTTTAACCAATAATAATGGACCTCATCTCTATGGATGTTTCCTTACTTTTCTTTCTTTAACTTATGTATACTAGACTCCACCGCTGTATAGTATTCCGATCAATCATTTTGTGTTATGTCAACTACAAAATATTAATCACAAATTGTATGAAAAATAATATTAGGCAGCTTGAATCTAAGGATGACTACAGTTCTGTTTAGATTGAACCAAACACCGAGCAATCGAATCAGAACCATAAGAACGATTCCGGTTCTGATTTAAAATCATGGCTTTTATTATATAGAAAAGTCTAATTTTTAAAGAAAGAAAAAAAAAAAATAACAATTCAAATTGACGATTCCAACAATACCAAAACATTACTAAAGGTTTTGATTCTGACTTATCATTTTTATAACCGTAAACTAATGATTTAGAACTGAAATCGAACTAGAACCAAACCTGCATACATGTCTACTTGGACCCATCAATCCTTGCACTACTTATTGTTTAAACTTATTTACTAATTTTTTGTACACGTTTAACAAAATGATTACCAAATGTGCCAGATACTCATGAAGTAGTGCTTCACTGCTTGAGGAAACATGTGTTCAACAAAAAAAATCATACACACGACAATAAATAAAGAATTAAATTTATACTTGAGATATAACTCTTGAATTAAATATGTTATTTTTTCAATTTAAAGTGATATGGTTTATTATAGAGTGACGACTCTCCTATGTTTTACTATAGACAAGTTGGGTCAATATTAAAAAATGTAATACTAATTAGAAATAAAGTGTTTGTTACTTAATCAACATGAAAAAGTATTATATTTTTATTCAAAAATATTATACTGAGGTATAACTCAGGAATCAAATATATGTTATTTTTTTAAAAAAAAATTGTCAAATTGGCCCCTAAATCAAACGGATAGTGCAATTGAGCATCTAAGTGAAAAAAGATCCATTTAAATCTCCTAAACCGGTTAAAATGTTTAATTGGATCCTAAATTACCTGTTTGGCAAGTTAGTGTTTTCTAATGCTGACACATGTCTCATTTTTTAATTATTATTATTTTTTAAAAAAAATTACTTTTTTTTTGTTTTAATTTATTACTTTGTTTTAATAACTTATTATTATTAGCTCAGACGGCGGACGAAGAGAGGAGAAATGGAGAGTGTCGCCAAGTTCGCAGGATTCAAATGAAATTTTTTTCACTTAAAAACTCAATCGCATTATCTGTTTGATTTAGGGGGATAATTCAATCTTTTTCCTTTCTAATTTGAAGTGGTGTATGTGTTTGACTATAATATAACTCGAGCCTTTGGATTCAAAATCAAAGAAACTAATTAACCAAATTTAAGAGAAAATTTCAATTTTGGTCCTATAACTATAGGGGTTTTGTTAATTTCAGCACTTAACTTTTAAAAGTGTCATTTTAGTACCTTGAGTATGTAATTTTTGTCAATTTTGATCACTCCGGCCAAACTTCGCCAGAAAATTTTAATAAGTAAAATAATGAGGGTATTTTAGTTATTTTACCATTTTTCCTTGCTTCTCGACCAAAGAGAGGGATTAACAAGACCGCGGTGATGACGGCGGCCACGGTGAGGACGACATCTCTTTCTTCTCCGACGAGTGGAATAGCATTGGCCGGTCGCACGGAGTCCGCCGAACACCTCCGTGGTCCTTGGAGTGTGCTGGGGCTAATATCACCGACCTGCCGGCCACCTCGTACTTCTTCGGTTGCCTGGTCGGCGAACTCGCGCTCTCCACGTTCGCCGACACCTCCATTGGCCAGAAGAAAATGCTAGAATGGTTTTAGAACCTTCAATTTGGTCCTCCACGATGGTTCCCCCAACGTCGGTGGTGCCTGGCCTAATTAAGGAGGCTACCAATCAAAATGCTTTGGTCATTGATTCCGTTAAGCTCGCAAAAGTTGCGTTTAGATTTGTTTTGGTTTTAAAAGTGGCCTTGAGCCGCTTTGCCTGTACTTTCGAAGCCGGGAGAACTCGCCGGAAACAACTGAAACATGGTAGACTCGTCGGAGAAGAAGAAAATAGATGTGAAATGACTAAAATACCCTCATTATTTCAACTATTAAAATTTTTCGGCCAAATTTAGACGACAATTTGACCGGTGTAACCAATATTGACAAAAATTACATACTCAAGGTACTAAACTGACACTTTTGAAAGTTAGGTGCTAAAATTAACAAAGCCCCTATAGACATAAGACCAAAATTGAAATTTTCTCCCAAATTTAATGTTAAATTCGTGGGTTAAAGCCATTGTATATCATTCATTTGCTAAATGATTGTGTATGGCAAGATAAACTCGACAAAAACACGTATAAACTTCCTGTTGACGACACCAATAAAACAATTAATTTGTCCTACATTTGAATATAGGATTCGAGTTGGCAGCATATTACATAATGACATGTGAAGAAGGGTGGCTCAATTATTAATTAAGCCGGTGGATGGAAGGAAAGAGTTCCACTCATTTGTGCCTTGGATCGGATGACAGTTAACCAAGAACATGAAACATGCAGGAAGTACCCCACGCAAATGCCTTAGTCCCGTGGCATCACAAGCTTTTGTGCATAAATTATTAAAGCATCTATTCTACGCCATGATTTCACCCACTACTATACCAAAATATATTGAATGTACACCCAACTACTGCATGAATTGCGTGAAACCATAGGAATTATTGGTCCCGTCTCTGCCGACTTTTGCACCTCCATCACTCACCAATATCCCACGTACCGCCTTTCTCCATCACAAACACAACTACTAAAAATAGAAAGGGCTGAAAAGTTAATTAGGCACTCAATTTTTTTAAAGTTGTAATAATTAGGTACATAAACATGTCAATTAGTTCATCAATGCTCAATTACCTGTTAGTGACCTATAATACTAAGTCACTAAAATTTCGGCGATTATTCGGCAATAAAAATCGATGACGAAAATCAAGGCATCTCCGAAGAAGGCGTGGCCATCTCCTGTGATTGGAGATGGCGACCAAACTGGTCGCCATCTCCTAGGGACAAAGAAAGCAACCAGTTTGGTCACCATTTTCGTCAAGTGGAGATGGCGACCAAACTGGTCGCCTTCTTCGTCCCTTAGAGATGGGATGGTGACCAATTTGGTCGCTATCTCAGCCAGAGATGGTCACGCCTTTTCCGAGGACGTCTTGGTCTCCGTCATCGATTTCTATTGTCGGACAAATGTCAGAATTTTAGTGACCTGGTATTACGGGTTACTAACAGGTAATTGAGTCTTGATGAACTAAATTGACATGTTTATGTACCTAATTGTAACTTTAAAAAGTTTGAGAGTCTAATTGACTTTTCAGTTAAAATTCGATGACATATTTGACTTTTTTTTTTTTCAAAATAAAATAAATCCTCTTGTACAATTCAAATGGCCAATTAAATCAAAATAAGATTACAAACATTGTTTGCTAGTAGTACAGTTGCAGGGTGTAGAGTTCAAATCAAAATAAGTTTACAAATATTGTTTTGCTAGTTTTGCTTTATTTTGGACACGTGTATAAGAATTTGAGGGTCGGTAAATCAATTGAGACACATTTTGTCATTTGACTTTTTACAGGTACTAGTGTACATGTACTCGAGAAATGGTAGACTAATTAAGCGACATTTCCTACAATTTACCTTCTTTACTAAATTATATGACTTTTAAAAAAAAAAAAAAAAAAACTATAATGTTTGGAAAAGTACTGTGTCTACGACGGCAAATGAGAATAATGGAATGGTCTAGCTTATTTTTATTTATAGTAATATAGACACAAACATGATGGTGCCTGGCCTTTTTCGCCTGAGTAGAACTTTGCTATTATTTTATAGCAATAGGAATGTCTTAAACTACCAAAATAAATAACATACTTCATCCGTCTCATTTTATATGTCTAGGTCAGTTAACAAAATTTGATTGAAGTTACATTTAATTCAATTTTTTATAATATTAAATTTAGTATTAGTATACAAAATTTATCTTCACCAAAAAAAAAAAAATATACAAAATTTATATATTTAGAAACTACACTAAAAATACTATTAAATACAAAAAAAAAAATCAAAATTTGAAAATAAGTAAATAATGCTAAAGATAATTAATAAATAAAGAAGAAGAAATTAATTTGACCAATAAATAGTGGGTAAGACAGATAAAATGAGACAGATGGAGTAATAAATACCTTGCCCTCTTCAAAGGTATTCTAAAATTGACTTAATGGAGAATGTGGGTTATGTAAATTATTATGAAGTACGGAATATATATTATTAAGTGATGAAAAACTCTTATACCAAAATTACTACTTAGTATTCACTTTTTCTTATGATGTATTGTATTAAATTGTTTTGGGATAAGGCACTTGAACTCCAAAAAGCTTTATATAACCACCTGAACTTGAAAAAAAATAAAAATAAAAAAATTGGCCCATGTTTACCTGTTAGCTTCCAGTAATTATATTGACTTGGAATTTTCCCTTTAATTTTTAACTTATTTGGCTGATGTGGAATTTTTTTTTTAATTTTTCTTTAATTCTTTTTATCTCTTCTAAATCCCTACTTCCTAAATACTTTGTATATGTACTCCTCTCTTCTCCATCACTCACCCTTTTCAAGTTTACCTGCTCCTTTCTGGTTCATCGTTTTTTCATTTAATAAATCTTCATGTTGCGATTTATTTATTGACACCGCGGATGAGAGATTCAAATTCAAAATCAATTCAGTTGATCAGAGATTACAACAATAGAGAGTCCTTTGTACGTAGTAAGTAAAGATCTAGCATTTGTTGTTCAGTCGAGTTATCATAATTTACATTTTCCCAGATGCTCTGTCGGGCCGGGGTGTGGGAGACCCTCGGAGTTGGGGATTCAACCTGACAGAGTAATGGTGCCAGCACCCGACCCGGGTTGTCAAACGAGTACCTGACTCGACGCCACATGGAAACCCATCGGGCAGATTACTAATGGATGGAACGTTACCACGGTGCCACTTATTGCTACCATTGATGAGAGAGAATTAAAGGCATCAGCTCCTCATTTATGTCCCACCATGTTACCGTTAGGGCTTAATATAAATAGAAGCTCCCCTCAGCTTGAGGGGACACATTCTGATTCTTGTACTGAAACACTCAGCAATACAACTATTGTTACTCATTTACACAAAATAATTATTATCCAGTAACATATTTACCGTCAATCTGTCACAACTTTTTAAGAAGAATAAATATGATTGTATAGTTAATTTGGTAATCATAATGAGAATTGTCTATTTAACTCTTTGGGTTGAGTCGGTAGGTATGAGCAACCTATATTAATTTATTTCGTGATCATTTGTTGATTAGAATCATAAGTACAATCAAATTTCACTCAAAGCATTGTATGTGCTCAATTTGGTTATTGGAATACAATATATGGTGGTGGCTGCGTCAACTTCAATTACCAACTCCTTCCTTGTCTGGAAGAGAAGCAGAATAAATTAAAACTCCTATCAACCCATTTATACAATTCAATAAAAATTTGCTGTGTCTAAATCTAATTAACGAAGCAAAACCCGATTCTAGTTTTCTCACCATTGTAATACTAATTCACGATATTCAATAGTAGTAGAAGGTTTAATTAGAATTCTTTAACATGCATGATACAAATAAGACATACTACATAATTCAAAACTCTTTAACATGACAAACATATATTTATAATTGTATACTTGTATCAACAACCCACTTAGCAATCATCTTGATGATAATTTATTTTAAAATTAACATAAATAAAGACAATTGATAATGATTAATGAACGACAAAATCAGGCATAACCATTAAAATTAATGACAAATTTATTAATCAATAATTAAATTAAGAAATCCATTAAAATTGAGAACTAAATTACAAATTAAGTCTAAATAGAAGTCATGGACAAATGTTATGGCCTATTTGGTAAATGGCTATTAGCTGATAGCTGTTAGTTGTTAGCTGATTGTGTTAATTAGAGGGTATAAATAGTTGATAACATTAGCTGATTGTAGAAAAGTGTTTGGTACTGTTAGCTGATAGTTGTTTGATATAATTTCTTTTCTCAAAAAGCTAATTGAAAAAGTTGCTTGGAGTACCATTTTGAATTTTAGTATTTTAAAGTTGCAAAAAGCTAATTAACCAAACATTTAAACTAAATTAAACAATTAATAGTGATCAAATAAATTAAAATTGACCTATAGGCCAATTTTTTACCAAAAAGGGCCTATATCTAACAATAACTTTTGTGGTCATTTGCAAACGAATTATGCAGTGTTTTATATTTTTACATTCATTTATTTCAAAAAAAAAATATAAGAATGTTCGAAATTGTGATGCTCTTATTAAAAGAGCGAGACTATGAGATACTATTTTATGAAAAATACTTATATGAGAATAACCTCTCAAAGTGAGATGGACTTCTAGTGCGCAGTAAGTAATGGCCTAGCCTCTCTGCTCAGCGGAGTTATCATGATTTTTACTCATTTACATTTTAGTAAATGTTCTATCACGTACGTGAAGCCCTTAGAGTTAGGATGAATGAAAAATATTTATGTCTATACATTTACCATTCACACAATTTCCTATTCTCTTATGTGGTAATTTCTAATTAAGTTATTTTTTTCTTTATATATATATATATATATATATATATATATATATTTTTTTTTATATTAAAAAATTAAAACTTAACATATAGAAAGAATGAAAAGTTTGTGAGTGGTAAATAAAAAGACACTATGGTCCCTGTTTGATAACTTAATTTAAGGGCATCACGGTCCCGATAAACGGTTACTTTCATCCTGAAATCTGAACCAATAACAACCGAACACGTACCAATACCGTATGGAAAACTGTGTAGCCCAACACTGGATACTTCCCCTTATAATTAGTCGACAGTTGGAGTACAATTCACGTTAGAATGCGCGTGACCAGAGGATTATAACCAAGCACGCGTATATTCCTTCCATAACCGCGTGATGAACTATAGCTATATAACAATGGCTGAAACTAACTAGAAACCGAAAAAGTCTCCCAGAAGTCACACTTTCCCTATTATAGTCTCTCTCTGTAATGGCAAAAAGCGGAAGCGATCCGAAAGCGGCGGTGATTTCTGGCGGCGCGATGGGGGAAGTGGAGAAGGTGTTCAGGAAGTTTGACTCGAATGGCGACGGCAAAATCTCGCTGTCGGAGCTCGGAGCGATTCTGAATGCGCTCGGCTCCAAGACGTCGGCGGAGGAGGTGAAGCGCATAATGCTGGAGGTCGATACTGACGGCGACGGATTCATCGATATGGAGGAGTTCGCGGCTTTCCACTGCTCCAGCGACGGAGGATCCGACTCCGAGGACAAGGACCTCCGCGACGCCTTCAGCCTGTACGACAAGGATAAGAACGGGAAGATCTCCGCCAGCGAGCTTCACTCGGTGATGAAGAGCCTCGGAGAGAAGTGTTCGCTCAAGGACTGCCGCCGCATGATTAGCTCCGTCGACGTCGACGGCGACGGCTGCGTTAACTTCGAGGAATTCAAAAAGATGATGGCTAGGTCTTGAGCCTTGATCATTCAGTTTAGCCGAGTTTCGAAATTAACGGTAGGTTTAGCATTTAAGTAGTTTGATCTGATTAGATGCTTATTGCATGGCTGTATTACTGTCCAAACTTCATACTTTTTTTTTTCGGCCAAAAGCTGTTGATATGACTGGATTACGATTTATTCCAAATATTTCTACGGTTATTCCGATCCAAGTCCAATTTCATGAATTTGATTTTGAAGTTTCATTATCATTGATGAAAGGCCTCATGTGAATTATCTTTTTGAGTGGTGCTTACTCCTCTCCATTTAAAGTGATGCCGACTTCTCTCTCTCTTGATTTTTCTGCTTTACTCTTATTGGTTCAGAATTTAGAGTGCCACACAAGGAAATGTGTGGCTCATGGGTGATTGGAGAATGGGGAGTGGTTAAGTTTCTGCCGTGATATACACAACAATATATATGAATCGCGTTTTGTGCACCAACTAATATTAATTACTACTATTATTATATTCTTCATAGTTTTTATTTTCTCTGCTTTGATTACTGGAGTAATCCAACTTCTGATTTGTTGTTTTCTTCTCATGGTGTCGTTACTGCTGGTTTTGACCATTATAAAGTCCATGCTCAATTTTGCTCAATTTTTCAGTATAGGCAGAAAGTCTTCCTTTTTGGCGTAATTATGGGATAGCCATTACTAGTGTACTCTGCATACTTTTCCTTTTTTATGGGATCGCCGATTGGCGGATTGGATATGCTATTTCCCTATTTAAAGGGTCAATGTTTTATAAGTCAAGATTTTCGGTTTCAGAAGTGACCATTATAATTGCTATAAGCCTGTCCTCACATTTCACTATTTGTGCTTTAATTTTACTACACACTTTCTAGGAGCTTTAAAAAAACAAAAAAAGTTGTTTAGCCTCTACATACTCTTCTCTAGATTTCTCTCCCTCAACTTTCCATTCTCTGGTCTTCACTTTTATATGGAGTTTGGCTTCTAAAGTTTTATTACTTTTGACTCTAGGAAAACATCTTGATACTGCTTTTTACATTAAAGCAAGAGTTGTCCAATGCCGCCATAGTGGAAAGAGCACCATGGGGGTGAACATGGGCATTATAACGGACATATAAATTAAATCAACACAATTCACCAGGACTATGTGGTCTAATGGTACTCGGGTTGGACTTCCATTTGGAAGATTATGAGTTCGAGCCTTAGTGGAGGCGTTATTGGTTCTTTGTGTTTCAGTAGGTTGAGAAAGTATATGAACAGATACTACAATGTAATAGAGCCAGTAACTTTCAAAAAAAAAAAATCAACACAATTCAATCAATTAACTCTTTTTTTTTTTTTTGGAAGTTTCAAGATCTTCCTCGTACATTGGAATTTCTTGAGTTATCCCTCGAGCATGCTTAACAATTTGATTCATTGTTCCTCGTGTGAGTCTAGGTTTGGGACCAGTCAAGAATAATCTAAACTAGTTTGCATTCGGATAGCGGCTACAAATTTTCTCGTAAATTAAAGTTTGATTCATTATATTGGATTATGATTTTGTTATTCAAGACATTGAGCATAAATAGCTGTACCAGCCTCTATTATCTAATAGATTTTAAGAAAAGAAAAACAAACATTTTTATTTGATTTTACTATAATTTTCTCTTCTTTTATTTTTTTTAACCCACCCCAATATGGCACTATATCCCCCAAAATGGCAAAAAAAAAAAGTCAAAATATAATACTTGATCATAAAATAAGTACTTACTTAATTTTTGTTTATTTCTTACAATTTTCCGGATATAATACAATGAAGGACCTTTAATGTGAATTTATGACGAATTAAATACCAGGACTATGTGGTCTAATGGTACCCGAGTTAGACTTGAAAGGTTATGATTTCGAGCCTCAGTGGAGGTGTTATTGGTTCTTTGTGTTTCAGTACTTCTCCTAAAGATAACCTATCTAATCTCTTTTTTAATTACCGCCTAAAAAAATTAGCACCCCATAATTCGTGCAAAGAAAATTTGTGAAGTGAGATTGCTTTTGAGAAGGAAGACTTTAAACTTATTTTAAAACGCTTATATAACCATTTATTATTTAAACTATTCATACAAATTGTGCAAAAATTCACTGTTAACGAAACGTTTTATTTAAATAATTTTTTTAAAAGATGTTACTCGTTATATGAATAATGAATCTTATCATAAAATTAAATATGTTTGAATCGGTTTTGACATATGTTTATGATTTTATTTAATTTTAAACGTCTCCATAAAAGTTTTGAGACAAGTTGCAATTAAACAAAATTTGTTAAAGTTGTAATCTAAATCCTATACTTTTTTTTTTTTTTTGTTTTAACTTTTTTAGCCAATTCTTAATTTTAATTAACATTTAAGTGGACCCTAGTTCCTAATACATTTGGCCCTATTTTTTAAAATAGTTAGCCTATCAGTCAATTTTGACTTATTTGACCACTATTAAATGTTTGACTTTGTTAAATAATCAATATGTGTTTTTGATTAATTAGCTTTTTGTAACAATTTATTGCTCGAAAATGCTATAATTCAAAAACCTCTTCAAAGTTGTTTTTTCGATTAGCTTTTTGAGAAAGTCATTTTGTATGTAATCAGCTAACAACTAATTCATCAAACACTTTTCTACAATCAGCTAATACTATCAACTTGTCAAATCCACTAACCCAATCAGCTAATTATTATTAGTTAACAACCATTTACCAAACACCTCCTTTATATTTTATCATTATACTTCTATAAATATCTTTTCTAACCAAAAAGTTATTGAATTTCTTACACTCAACCAACATATCACCATCAGCCCATCACCAATGATTTACCTATTTAAATTGGTTGGCTAAAATAACAATACATTTTTTAATTTATGAAAAAGTTCGGCAGCCATTACTCGAAATTTGTTTGATTCAGAATAATTTTTAATATAATATATTTTACTAAGACTATTACGATATAGATTTAAGATAATTTCATATTTGGCAGGGTGGGGTTCCATTTCTAGTACGAACATGGGGACTTTGGTTTGAGTGTGACTCGTTATATGCAAAAGTGTACAATTTAATATTAGAGCCTTAAAGTTAAATTGATCTAATTTATCTCCTCATGAATCTAAGAATACTGGTTTATAAGATTCATGATATAGTTAAATGAAACAAGGATATTAAAGAATAAAAATAAAAATTGATTCAAATCTTGCCGTTGAAAACAAGCATAGTGCAAGCAATATAAACCTTGGAAGGGATGCATGGAGTTATGTGTACGGAATAATCACTTGAAAGTTGAAACCAATCTTCAAGTCACAAATTCATAACTACTACTAATAGAAAAGTTTAAGCACCAATATACCCAACCTTTCCCAATAGAGCTGGTCAATCTTAAGTATGACAAGCAATTATATTCATCACCCGACTCACTCCTATACTTTCTACTTCTAGTCTAAACCTTATTCCCAGAAGATTGAATCCCCCACCCCAAAGGCCCCACACTCCAGCCCGACAAAGCATCTAGAAAGATGTAAATCATGGTAACTCAACTGAACACAAAGACTAGACTTTTATTTACTGCGCATAAGGAATCCCATCACTTTGAAAGGTTGTTCCCACACTGCCGCTGGTGAAACTCGACCCAGGGTCATTGTTTCTAAACTTCACCCTGTGACCAACTGAGCTGCCAATGCGGGCTCCACCTGGTCTAAACCTGGGAGGCCGGTGGGTGATATATATAGTAGGAGGTTGATTCTATATAATACTCTCTTAAAGAAGTATATAAATATGGTTGAACTTAAACCACCACTTTAACAGAATACATTCCTCTGTAGATCACAATCTCTGCTGTCACATAAAATTGTGGCACTAATAACCCAAAGCACAATGGTTTCTCATCATAAACAGTCACAAAACCTAATCACAACATTGATCATCTCATTCTAGTACTAGTAAAAGCACCATTACAATGTAACACACACATCTTTACATATGACAAAATAGAAGGCAATGCAGATTAGACACCGAGAACCATTTATTTTACATCTTGAAGCTTGTATAGTATAGCACAGTGGTGACACAGCTACAGACCTCTGGAACCCGGAATATCAATCCAGTGCAGCTCGAGTTCCACTTCACCACGCTCAACATTTTGCAGCCTAACGACCATTTTCTGGACAACCTTGTCATTTTCCCACACGATGTTGCTTGCTTCAGCGAGGCAGTTTGTCCTGCACGATTCGACTCTAGTGATTATACTGCCACTGGGAATGTTGTGTGAGCTCATATTCAGATTCTTCACAGCTTCTAAGAATGGTGTGATGTTAAATTCTGCATCCCCCATTTTATCGTCGAGACTGAATGTATCCTTGTCATAGACTTGCTGCAACGACAAACAAAAAAAATAAAATTCCTCATATGGATCATAGTCTGTATATGGAATTGCAATAAATCCACGCCATCCAAAATTTATAGAGAATTTACAGCCTATACTGTCATTGCGTTTATATATCCATTCTGAATGACATGATCTAGTATACCCAGAACGTGTTTCAAGCATAAGCAATATCACTTTTCACGAAAATAGACTGTTTAACCATTATATCCCGCCCCCTTAAAGCTTTGGATTGAGAACATTATTATAATCCTTTTTTTTTTGCAGTTTCTTCATCGAGTAAGGATGCAATGGGATTTCGTTGGATACTTAGCAGGTGCCTATTCACCAGAGAATTTCAAAACGCCATTCATCTTAACCAAAATATCAGCAGCCAAGAACGATTGGCTGCAATAATAGCAGATTTCAAATATATGAGGACACACAAATGCACAACTCCTATAATTTTCATCTTTAATCAGCAAAATTGTGCTCCCAAGAAGTCCACCAACCTTTGGCACTTTCTAATCCCTATTTCTTTTTTCTAGCAACCAAGAATTATTGGTGTATGAATATACAAAAGGAATTTTCTTTTGATCAAAATAATACTATGAGGCACCAAAAGGTGAAGACACATACCAGTTTTATAGGGAGATTTGGGTCTGAGATTGATAGAGTTAATTCTTCATTCCACTCAGGGTTGACAGTCTTCTTCACCACTTTGGTCTTTAGTTTCTGTGTTAAAAGATCAAAAAGGAAGCAAAACAAGAAAACAATACTAGCTGTGAAACAAGCCCAAAAGGAACATAAGCACATGTCCTAGTAATTTGCTGAAACAAAAACAAATGTTTCTTAATTGAAAACTATGGTTTAAACTAGAAACCATTCAATACAAAGTTAATGGTCTATGGTGTCCAAACAAGTAGCTCAGTTGATTTTTGGATGGCAAATTGTGGGTAAGGAAGCAGGATCGAGCCCCGATGGCAAGGTGGGAGTTGACTCTTTGTGAACATGATCCTCTCACCTAATAGGTTAACCGTGATTTACACATAGCAATCATGTCGGATTGGAGCGTGGGTCGGGGTGAGGGATTTGGCCTTTTGTTGCAAGTTAATGGTCTAAAGCATATTAATACAGGGCTTCAGTTTTCTGGGCATTATTTTGACATTTTGAGATGAAATCCAAAAATGAATGAACTTTGTTCTGCACTTCAGCAAATCTACAAACCCAAAACAACCCAAAGGGAAAATTCAAGTCAAAAACTCATCATCTGCACCAAAGCTTTCATCTTTCCCCCAAGAAAACCATGGGTTTTTGACTGATTAGACAAAATGATCCAAGAAATCCCATCAAAATCTGGAAATCAAACACCCTGAGACCATGAAGCTGCAGTAAAAGCACAGCACACAACGAGAAACAGCAAACACAGCGATTACCTGCTTGCCCATGCGCACAATAACGTATGGGTCGCTGGTGTTGACATCTCTCACAGCCAAGTTCACTCCTCTGCGAATATGAATCCTCAGAAGCCCCAACAAGTTCTCCATTGAAACAGAAGCTCTGCCCTTCATTTGCCGCTGCTAACTTTATGGCCGAACCGCGTGAATGAAGAAAGAGCAGAAGGGTGAGATGGGGGTGCAAAGGGGCCTATTGGTTGAGGCTGAATGGCTGACGCTAAACACCTAATTTGTCCAAAATTAGCAGAAAAAGTGATTTCGTATACAGACTTGAAAATAAATGTCAGATTTTAAATGGCTAAATTGGTACAATTGAACATATAATTTATTTATATAGAACTTTTTTTAAATCACGAGGTGGTTCGGATCTTTCTCTGTTTGTTCATTTAACGAATTTATTTATATTCATTATAAGGGCTTTAATATGATTATTTTTACATGGTCTGGAAATGGAAATACAAACGGTAATTTCATAATCAAATTAATTATTAGAGAGCAAATTCCAATTTCAGTTCACGACTATTGCCTTATTGTCACGTTTACTCATTCTTTTTAAATTTTACCTAAATCCATAATTGACTTTGTGTACAAAAAAATTGACTTTTATTTATTTGTCACAATTAGTTTTCAATCTAATTTTTTTTTAATCATTCAATCGTTTAATAAAAATGATTAATACGTAATTTGATCTTTAAAGTTTTTTGCTTTAACATGTAATTTTTCTTTCTCTCTTTGTAACTTCTTTTAATTGAGTGATGAAATTACACGTTACTGATCTTTATTAATTGTGAAATTTAATAAAAATTAAGGACATAATGGGACAAAATTTAAACAGTGTGATTAAATGTGACAATGTTGTAATGGTTTGAGGCTAAAAGTGAAATTTACTCATTATTAAATTACGGAGTACCTGCCAAGGACCTTGTGGTCTATACGTCTAGTACTCTAGTGGCACTAAGTTGCACTCCCATATGAGAGGTTGTGGGTTTGAGCCTTGCTGGAGGTGGTATTGACTTTCTCTTTGTGCTTCAATAGGTTGAGAAAGTAGTTATGAATAGACACTGCATTTTAATAGAGTCAGTAGTACTCTTCTAATTTCTAACAAGATAATATTGTCATTGTTTATTCGTCGAGTGACTTTTCTATTTTTAATCTCTCAAAATTTTCAAATAAGATTTAAAATATTTTAAAATTCCTTAACTTTTATGAAATCTCATATGTTTTTTTGTAAGCACATTTTAATTTTAATTTGATTGATTTCAAATTTGAGAGATCAAACATAATCAAATGGAAAGTTGAAAATCAAGAGTAGAGATGTGCCAAAAGGATGATTTCCTCTTTACCCTCTTGACAACTTGGTTAGTTGTAACATTTTTATTTATATTGAGAAGATTATGTTTACATTAAAAAGATGATGATGAGTAATATTTGATATATATGGTAAATGGTAAAGAATAATTATGAAAAGTAAGAGAGTTGGTATTTAATATATTTATACACACGGGCAAAATCTTAACAATGCGATGACAATTTAGACCAATAAAGCTTAGAGTACAATACACTAGCACAACATTCACAATTTAGGAGTATTAAACTTATTTGTTCTTTACTAATGCTAATTTTGGCTACTTTCACTACTAGAAATTATGGAATTTTTGACCACCTAAAAGTAATCTTAAATCACGTCGAAAGCAAAAAGTGGTCGGAAATAGCAACAAAAATTTTTCCGGATACCAAAAGTGGTCGGAACAAGGCTTTCGACTTGATTTAAGATCACTTTCAGGTGGTCAGAAATTACATAATTTTCAGTAGTGTTTGGTGTGGTTATTTTGGATAGGGATGGTGGTTTCATTTCTGCCAAAAATGGTAGATTTCGATGCTTGAATGATCCCTATTTTGCTTAGGCATTGGCTGTGAAGGAAGTGCTTTCTTGGGCAAAGGATAGACACTTTACGAAAATAAAAGTCTTTTTCGAATTGTCAGTTGGTGTGCAGGGCTATAAATCAGACGTTCATGGACAATTCTTATGCAGGTTGTGTGATTAATGATAAGAAATTATCAAAAACACTTTGAAGTAGTGTCCTTCAATTTTATTTCTAGATCAGTGAATAAGGCTGCCCATGCTTTAGTTCGGGCTGCTCTTTCACAGATTGATTCTACAGTTTGGATTTCTTTAGTTCCTTATTGTACTCAACATTTGATTTAATAAATTTCTCTCTTTTGGACTTCAAAAAAAAAAACTTGTTTGTTCTTATAAAACTTTTTAGATTAAAGGGATCAAAAAACAACATTTTTAATTAAAAAGTTATAAGTTAATAGTAAACATACAATATCTATATTACAAACGTTACCACTTTTAATTAGTTATTGAAGTGATTTCATTTCTTCCATTAATAATTTTGTTAAAATTTATCATTAATTTTCAAGAATTCTAAATCATCAAGGTTAATCAAGGAATTTCATCCGCTTTCAGTTTTAAAAAGAATTTCCCCTCTCAATTTGCGCTTAAATTCTTTCTATAACTTAATAGCCAGAAATGCAAAATGTGGCAAATTATGCTGTGCAAGGTAGACACAGTTCTAAAACTGTTCATAATTATGAATAGAGTTAATACTCATTTTGGTCCTCTGACTATTAGCTAATACTCGATTTAGTCCCAAAGTATTAAACGTACTCAATTTAGTCCTCTCACTTTTAAAATCACACCCAATGTGATCCTCCGTTACAATTGTCGTTTATCCACCGTTATTTTGAAGGCACAAGCGTCATTTTAGTTAAAGGCCAAACCCGTTTCTTCTTCTGCTAGCCGCTGAACGTGGAAACTGCCCAGGCCAACGGCGTCGTTGCTGATCTCTCTTCATCCAGGAAGCGCCGACCGACTACCTTGAGGAAGATGGTTGGCGGCATTGGCTGGTCTTCGGTGTCTCCTTCACCTCCGATGAAACAGCAGCGCCGTTAGGTCTGTCTCCTCCGACTGCGGAGAGGACAGTTGAATGGTATTCAGAGCAGTTGTACGGTGGGGGTTGGTGTTCCTCAGGTGTCAACTAATTATTCTACCGGTGGAATATTTCTAGGGTGCAGCAACATGCCTTTTCCGGTCACATTAATGAGAATGGTGTTCCAGTGTTGTCATCTGGTGCTCTAGCAGATGGGGTCAATGGGTGCCCTGCTCTTTCTGGTTCGAATTTGAATGCTCTGCCTGCTGGGAATAGATTGGGTTCTAGAACCCCTGGGATTAGTAGACAGGTGGCTCAGGGATGCCAATCGAATCTGGGGGGGGGGGGGGGGGTGGTGCTCCTCTGACGTTGAATGGCTCTCCCACCGGCGGAGATACCTCTGGGCTGCCTCTTCCGGCCATTTCCAGTCATTGTGCAAGCAGTGAACCATCTGCCTCTTGCACTATTGGTTCTACTGATACCTATTTTGTTGAGAGAGTTAATGATGGTGATGAGCAGGGGCGGACCTACAGTGGGGGCAGTGGGGTCAGCTGCCCCCACTCACCCCACCCCCACCCCTTATATAACCCTTGTATGTATATGTGTATATATAGTAGACGTTTAAGTATAAGTATTAAAAAATAGAGAAATGTCAATAGAATGTGGCTTAGCCCAGTTGGCTGGGCGCGTGGGTGGTTTGGACGCAGGCCAGGGTTTGAATCTCCTTCATTTATTTTCAACATTTCCTTTTCTTATTCTTTCACTATTAACACTATCTTTTCTCATTATTTCACATTTTCACTATTATTAAAAGTGCATATTGCTTCAACACAATAATATAATCTTCATTTATATATTAATAATGAGATGAGATGTGTAATTTATAATAGATCTTTACTCAAATTATTTTATCAAATTGATTATGTTCATATTTTGTTATGAATAAAAATATAATGTTTTTTATGTATTTTATAATTTTCTTACATCCAATATTATTTATGGCTATACTTTTTAAGTGTTTCATTTTTTTTTTCTAATTATCTATTTTACTTTAATATTTTGCCCCCGCTGAAAAAAATTCCTGGGTCCGCCACTGGTGATGAGGTGTTTGGTACCAAGCGTATGAGGTGGGTTCCTAAACAAAATAATAAACAAACTAATCCCACTAATAACTAGCAGAACCGTTACAGTAATGTGGTGTCACGAAACACTTTGGAAGGGGATGAATATAAGCTGGATTTTCTTGTGTCTAAGGAAGAGATATTTCAGTTGGCAACATACATACATACTAACTTATACCTTCTCCTTCCTATTCCCACTTTTCTTTTCAATGTTTTCTTAGTTATTTTGCCCAAATTTCAACTAAAATTATACATAGATAAATATCATCTTCTTGAATTTTTTTTAAAAAATTACTGTGTATTCTATGTGTTTGGCTGAAGTCTATAAAGAGCAAAGTCTAGTATCAATTGAGATTTCTCCTACATGTATGTTTTTGGTTGTTGAAATTAGAAGACAGAGCCATTTCTATGGGAGAGAGAGGTTTCATTAAGCAACAATCTCTTCTTTTATGAAACAATGCTTATTATCCTTTTTGTCAAAACAGATTCTACAACATTTTTCAATTTTTATCCTGCCGCCGAACCACCACCTGCTACGCCAGAGTTCGTTGGAGGGGAGGTCTGCTACGCTAGAAGGTCGCCGGAACACACCCCTGTCGCCTGCTCTTCGATCTGCTACTGCCGCGGGCTACGTCGAGCGAAAGGAAGGGAGAGACGAAGAGGAAGGAGGACGAGAAGGTTGAAGAACCTGGGGGTTCTTGTTTTTTTATTTTTTTTTATTTTTTTATTATTTTTTATTTTTTTGCGAGGGAGAAGAGGCTGAGGACGGCTGGTTTGTGTCTTCACATTTTGACGAAGATGATGAAGAAATCTCCACTAAAATGACGCTTATACCCTTCAAAATAACGGTGGATAGATGGCAATTGTAACGGAGGACTACATTAGGTACCGTTTTAAAAGTAAGAGGACTAAATTGGGTACTTTTAATACTTTGGGACTAAATCGAGTATTAGCTAATAGTCAGAGGACCAAACTGGGTATTAACTCTTATGGATATATAGTTAAAAAATTATGAATATATAGTTTTATAGTTATGAACATAGAGTTCTGGACATAATTATGAACCTATAGTTCTGTAATTAGGAATATAGAGATTCAATAATTGTGAATATGAAGTTTAAAAATTTTTAATATATAGTTCAGTAAAAGTTAATTTCA